ATGCCTTTTTTAAACAACATAAAAGACGGTAACAAACATGAATCTCACCAGATGGAATACACAGGAATCAAATTGACTACATCTATGGGAAGAGATGTTAGAAAATATCAGCAGCCAAACCAAGGCCAGGGGCAGACTGTGGGACAGACCATCAATTACTCATATGCAAGTTCAGGCTGAAGAACATTAAAACAAATAGACAAAAGCCAAAATAAGACTTTGAATATGAATTTAGAAGCCATCTCACGAACAGATTTGATACATTAGACAATAATGATTGAAGAAGAACATCATACAGGAAGAAAACAAAAGGTCATTGAAAAGACGGGAAAGAAAAAAAAAAGACCAAAATGAATGTCAGCACAGACTCTGAAACTTGATCTTGAGTGTAGAGAAACTAAAGCAAATGGAAAAAAGGAGGAAGTAAAAGAGCTGAACAGAAAATTTCAAAAGGCAGTTGGAGAAGACAAAGTTAGGTACTATAATGAAATGTGCAAAGACCTGGAGTTAGAAAACCCAAAGGGAAGAACACACTCAGTATTTCTCAAACTGAAAAAACTGAAGAAAAATTCAGGCTTTGGCTTGCAATATGAAAAATCCAAGCTTTGGCTTGCAATACTGAAGGTGTCCTGGTATGATGCTGTGGGGATAAAGCACTGGACCACTAGGTCTGTTTGAACCACAAGGTCGGTGGTTCAAACTCCCCACCTGCTCCTTGGGAACCCTATCAGGGTCGCTATGAGTCGGAACCTACTTTACAACACTTAACAACAGCAACAACTTTGGCACAATATAAAATGATGCAGAAACCATCAAAAGAAGATTGAAGGAATACACAGAGTCACTTTACCAAAAAGAAATGGCAATGTTCATCCATTTCAAGAGGTAGCATATGATCAAGAACTGATGGCACTGAAGGAAGAAATCTAAGCTGCACTGAAGGCACTGGTAAAAAACAGGACTCCAGAAACTGATGGAATACAAATAGAAATTTTAACAAACTGATGCAACACTGCTAAGTATTCACTCATCTCTTCTAAGAAATTTGGAAGACAGCTTACTTGGCCAACCTGTTTGGAAGAGATCCATATTAATGCCTATTCCAAAGAGATGTGACTTAGTAGAATTCAGAAATTATCGAAAAATATCATTAATAGCAAGTAAAATTTTCCTGAAGATAATTAAAAATGGACGCAACAGTACCTTGACATGTAACTGCTAGAAATTCAAGCCAGATTCAGAAGAGGAGGTGGAATGAGGGATAGCATTGTTGACATCAGATGGATCTTGACTGAAGGAGAATACCAGAAAGATGTTTACTTGGGTTTTATTGACTATGCATGGTTTTTGACTATGTGGATCATGACAAGCTATGGTTAACATTGCGAAGACTGACAATTCCAGATCACTTAACTGTGCTCATGAGGTACCTGTACAAAGACCAAGAGACAGAAATTAGAACAGAACAGGGGTACTAAATGGTTTAAAGTTAGGAAAGGTGTGTGCCAGAGTTGTATTCTTTCACCATACTTCAGTTTGTGTGCTGAGGAAATATCGAGAAGCTGGATTCTATGAAAAAGAAATTGTTACCAGGATTGGAGGAAGACTTGCTAACAACCTGCAATATGCTTGGTGAAAGTGAAGAGGACTTAAAATACCTACTAATGAAGATGAAAGATTATAGCGTTCAGTATGCAATGCACCTCAATGTAAAGAAAAACAAAAATCCTGGACTAATAAATATTATAATAAATGGAGACTAGATTGAAGTTGCCAAAGACATCATTTTGCTTGGATCCACAATCACACTCATGAAAGCAGCATTCAAGAAATCAGACGACATAGCGCATTAGGCAAATCTGCTGCACAAAACCTCTTTAAAGAGTTTAAGAGCAAAGATATCAGTTTGAAGACTAAGATACACCTGACCCAAATTGTGGTATTTTCAATAGTTTCATATGCATGTGAAAGTTGGACAACGAATAAGAAGGACAGGGTTGGGAGAACAAACAAGATGGCGGATC